ACTTTAAAGTCATTAAATTATTATTATTATTATTATTATTATTATTATTATTATTATTATTATTATTATTATTATTATTATTATTAAGTACTGTTTTACCAATTATCAGGCCTAGCATGAAGGGCACAGCCGGCATAAAGATGAACCAATAACCAAACTGTATTTGATACAAAAGGGTCAGTCCATGGGTGAGCGCTGGGGGCACAAACAAGTCACTCAGACTATACATACCCGACATCAACCCCACTGACCCCAACGACGACACCGCACGACCAACAGCGGGTGGGGTAAATGGTGACATGCAGCTTCCCGTGGAAGGGATGGGACACAACTGAGTCAACAAGCCAAAGACATCACACCAAGGAAGCCCCAGACTGAATCTCACACAGCCCGGGTTTACAAAAGCCAGACCTGCCTGGAGCCCAGCCCGGGGAGGCGGGAGGTCCTTCCCCAGCAGGGAGCTCTGCCCAGGGCGTCCCCCTCACAGACAGACCCTGCCCCTCCTGCGAGGGGTCCCAGCGGTTATCCCGCGGGGCTCACCTGACCTTGGGTTACTGACTGCGGGACCCCTGGGGCTCCTTTACCCAGGGGCTCTCCCGGCCAGGCCGGCCCAACCCGGGGGGAGCCGAAAGGGAACCTCACCCCCCTTGGGAAGGGCTGGGGGATCACCCACGTCAGCCTGAACTGGGGGTTGGGGTTGAAACCCCGGCAGTTCAAGTACTACAATGTTTATGTGAAGACACCAGCTATACTTCTTTCACATACAGAAAAATAAATTGTTAGAAATGCTAAACAAGAAACTCCCGTGACCGAGTATAGACTTTCCCTTTCCAAATGACCCAGAACTGAAAGAGAAATTGGAAAAGACAATGTCTAGATAACGATTTGCCTAAATAGAGTTACTGAAATCCAGATTTAGTTTCCGTTATGCAGTCAAATAGCCTGCAGGCATAGTCTTCAACTGGCACCAGGCTTAAAGCTTTTGTATTGATCTGCCCGTAGCTGAAGTGCACACCTAAGGATATGGATTGTGAAACAGTTCTTGTTACCTATCGCTGATTATGGAAATATAATACGTCTTGCAGCAGCATCCGCACTTTCTCTAACATGAAATGCTGCTTACGGCAGAGTGTTCATTTTATCCTGTGAACTCTCTAACACCGGTGGTATTTTCTGTGCAGCAGCTAAATGAGTAAGTTTGTGAAGCACCGATTACACAAGAGGCGCTCTCTCTTACCACCTATGGTGTAAGCAATAAAGTATCGTCAGATTCTTTGTATTTGAGCTGCATCAAGTGTAAAGTACAATTATAATTGTAATTAACAAGGTACATTCAAATTCTTTGTATTTCTTGACTTTCCCAGAGAGTCCTTAGCTTATCCTCATTTGAAGATTTTTTTTTAATTTAAAAAAAAAAAAAAAAAAGGAATATAATATTTCAAGTTTACATTTTGTGGCAGTTGCTAAAGTCAGCCTTTCAAAAGGGTTTGGTACAGCAATTAATACTGTGTGCTGAGTGTTTCCTATTTGGTGCTCAGTAGGAATTAATAGAAAGGAATCAATGTAATTTTCATATTTTCTTTACACTTTTATCTCTTTACTTGTCATGAAGACAGAGGATAGCAGTGCCATCATTGCACCAAAGTTACAGGAAAACAAGGAGGCTTTTACAGTTCTCTTAATTTTTCTTTTTCCTCCCGGAACATAATTGGGTATTTGTGTTTTCCTTTCTACTAACACCAAATCAGCAATGAACCAAAAAAACATCTTCTGTAGCTTCATTTTTGTCCAAACACTGAAGGACGACCCACCTGAAGTGAATTCAAACTCTGCAGGTACTTTTAAAAGTAATTAATATCTATTTAATAGATTTTAAGATGGAAAGGAAACGGTCTGATCATTTGGACATACTGTACTCTGAAATGCCCTCCACAAATTCCTATATGTAATTCTAGCATCCATTTATTCCTAAGCTGCTTTCAAGAATGTCACCAGCAATTATTTTTACTTTAAAAACCCTCAGTTTTGACTGAAAAGTTTATTTGAAAAAAGTGTTAGAAGAAACACATGCTTGTCAGCAGCCTGATACAGTTTTAAGATAATCTTGAAAGATTTCTCAGTGCCATTATAAAATTTAATACAGTTCAGCACCACATAACTTACATTAAAAAAAGGTTCATAATATTTATTACCCCCTAGTTGCACTATTTCTGCTCAGCCATCCATTCGATCGAGGCATCCTTCATCACCCATATACCTCAGAACTTCTCTTTGATCTCAAACCGTAAATTTAAAGGCCGAGTAAATGTTCTTTGAAACACAGCGTGGCACAGCTGCTTACTGTTACACAGAAGACAGCAGGTCGTTAAAAATGAAACGATTAATACATTGGAACATCCCCCTCATCATCCCAACTTCGAAGAAACCCCCCTTTCGGTGATATCTCTAATGTACAGTTAACAAGTATTCATCACGTGGAATAACAGCGAAGCTTTGGTTAGGGTCAGAATTAATAAAGCACGTCTTTCATCAAAGGACTGGCTCTGCACCCTGCTCTGGTATTTGCACTTCTAATACACAGCAAACACCCAACAGGGATGTGGCATGCCATGTTAATCCCACAAAACTCATCAAATCTGCAGTTTTTACCAGTTTGCTGAAGATTTTTATAATCCTACAAGAAAGTACTTCGCATTATTCAGTTGACTTTTTTTTTTTTTTTTTGTGCTTTATCAGTAGTCTAATTAGCAGAGGATGAGCTAAATCTTTGCCTCAAAGTGCAACTGAATCAAAACACAAACTTAGGGACCCAAGTTTATGTAGCTTCTCATTCTGCTTGCCCCCTATATCACTGCCGTTTATGGTTCAGCCAGTGACACAATTAGAAAAAAAAGAACTATTTTAAAGAGTTTTCAAATTGCACTGGCTTTCAGAGCCAAGACATCCGCGTCCTCCAGTGACATGCAAGTTATAAAAGGAGTGTTTATATCCAACTTCAGTATAACATGAAAGTTTAGCAGCCACAAGACAGCTTTATACAGCGATCGGACGTTACTTAAAGGCTTCATTGTATTTCCAGTGACAGTGCTCAGCAAAATAACTAGAACTCTATAAATTAATTACACTTTCTCCTAATAATTACTAAACTCTCCTGAGTTTATAAATAAGATGGCCCAAGATCCGAAAACATGGCAGGAGGCCCAAACACTGATGTAATATTTATCCCTACTGACCAGCGCTTCCCATTCTCATTGTTCACTGCAGGAAACAGGACAGCAAGCTTTGAACCGCACAAAACGTAGTACTGAGCTGCTGAGCCGCGCAGCCTTGCGGTGCGCTTTGTCCCAAGGACCGGTTCTCTGAGGGGTAACCTGGCGGGACTGAACTTCATGCTGGTGAATCCTGTCCCTGACACGGCACGCAAAGCCTTCACTTCTGTTGCCTCAGTTCAGTCTTCCTACGTGTATCGTTCACTCCGGTAAACTCAAACCAGCAAACACCACGCACATTCATATATTTTCCCAGCGGTTTGAAAGGAATGAAAAAAGAGTATTTCCAGATATCTGTCTAGCTCTTTCAGACAATAATAGTACATACTGCCTGCCTGCACGAATTAATGATTTGTCTTCCTAAAAGCTGGACACACAGAAAGCAACTTATAACATGCATCAGTACAGTGTTCTTAAAAAGCCGCTGCCATGAGCTGAGAGTGCAAATATGGTTTTTCATCATTCATCGTCATCTGAATCTGGGTGGAAAAGTCACAACTGCTAATAGAGAAACCCAGACAGATACCGTATGGGAAAAGGAATGCATGAGTAAGGATGGAAGAAAACATCTGCGAAAAAAGCACCAGCTGTACCTCATCTTCCATGGCAGATGTTCCAACATTCCTGTAAAACCATGCCCACTCTGCTTGTTCCTTTCATTTAACGCTCCTGCTCCCATTTGCTAAAAATTCCTATTTTAGATTCTTAAAAACACCACTTATTAAAATCTAGTGAAGTGTACAGAACACCTTGAAACAAGTGAAGAATCGAGTGGTGTCAGGACTTCAGTAATTTGACAGAATAATCTACATAACCTTTGCTGACTGTAAGTTATTTCATATTTCAGTATTATCAATCATACTTCCCTACGTTTGCTTTGCCTTTAAAGCCTTTAAGGCCAGATTCACTGAAACTTTGACTCATTTTCAGTCATAAGAAGAAAAGCAGAAGCACGCAGTACCAGTTTGGAAAGGTTTACAGATGCTTTATTTCCTCAGAATAGCTAAAAATCGCATTCTTCGCCCTTCCACCTTACAGATTCCCACTGCTGCTTGCATCTTCCCATGACTTCCCATACACATACCCCAAATTCCCTGCCTGGTGGCTTTCATGCTCCCCTGCATAAATTTCCCTTCACTGCCCACATCCCCTTGTACTCCAGAATACATGTCCAATACACCACTTCCCATCTCTTAACAATTTACATTCTCATGGACAAATATCTGAAGGGATAAAGCAGGCCCAATATAAGTATTTTACACAAATTGGGATTTCATCACTTTTAGCAGGTAACATATGTTTAAAATTAAGATTTTTATCGTAATTCTTAGGAGACTTTGTCAGCAAACATTGCCAAGTAGTCTTTTTTCAGATGGTTTAAAAATTAACAAATATTTGGTAGGTCTCGATTTTTTTTCTCCACACTTCACTGATTGTCAGGTAGGATGGGGAACTGTCTTTTCCACAAACAGTGAAATAAAATCCCCATTTTAATTGCACCTTAACTGCAAAGCTGCAACTGGCTCCTTAAGATATGCCCAGTGCTAAGGCAAGTGCAAATAAATTCAGAATTCTTTGAGAATACAATATTTAAATACAGTAGACAAAGCTCCTTCTGCGGAGCTGGGGTCAATACTCAATACATGACGTTTTCTGAGAGAACTCTACTGACTCCTTTCCATAAAACCTTACTTGTAGATGGGGGGAAAAAATGCATTTTCCTGTCGAAGAGCTCATCTGCTAGCTCTGCAATGAATACAACACATTTATCTACAAGAAGAATGCAGTGTGAAATGAACACAGGTATCTCTGAGCCTCCCAGCCCCAACTGCAGTTGTGTTATGAATATTTAAATAAACATCTTGTTTCCCTTTAGAATTTAGCAGGCAGGAATGCTGTGTTGAGAACAGTGGATTGGGAACAAGGATTCAGACATTTCTAATGCGAGAAATTATTTGTTAAATGGCTTCTGTATCTCTAATGAATATAAACACATACCTACATAAAAGCTTGAAAAATATAATTAACAGAGAAGTGCAGATTTTAACATTTTCATTTTGCAGAATATTCGGCAATTTAAAATCTCCATGCAAACACATAGTATATAAACTTCACAAAAGAGTTTTCAAAACTATTCCATTTTCGAGCCATTTAATTTTGTGGCATTAGAGTTTTGAAATGGTCACACTCTCAATATGGACAATACAAAATCATTTAAAGAACAAAAATATTAAGAGTGGAAAACAGTAAGTGAAACATTCATTTAGCTTAATTTCAAAATGTTACCTTTCCAATTTTCTCCTTTATTCTTAGGAAATAGAAATCAATTTAAATTTCAAGAGGAACAAGAAATCTTTACACATGCTCCATACAGAAAATGTTTTAGTAGAACATTCTGACAACTACAAATAATCCTGAAAACCTGGAAACTGGCTAACACTCGTTTACAGGCTAATTTTAGTGACTCAGCATTTCAGATGAAAAAAGTACTTTGTCGAGAAAAGACAAATAGCTCCAGAGAAAAGACATAATGAACCCCAGGATAATGAATAATGCTGTATGCGTATGGAAAACATAAAAACATAGCAAAGCTATGCCTATATGGAGAAAAAATAAAGTGAGTTTAGACATGCAGACATAAGGAACAGGCAAGAATCCTTTTGCATCACTGGGAATTTTCCTCAGAATTAGACTAGAAGACTGACTCAAATTGTATACATTATCCAGAAACCAGTACTTGCACACTGCTCTTATTTACATTTTAAAGGGTCAAAGTAACTATGAAGTCTTTTCTTAATAGTGTCATTTAAAGTAAAGCTTCAAGAGGCTAAAGAAAATTTTTGCATGTCATGGTGAAACAAAGGCCAGAAAAATAAGGCTTGCTAAATTCTAAGCAATCAAGCAGGAGGAAAAAAAAAAAAAAAAAAAAAAAAAAAACATTAGTAGCTAAAAATCCTGAATTGTAATCTCAACTCTTCCACCAGTTTGCAGTTCAGCCTCAGATAAATTACTAACCAGTAGCATTTAGCTACCTACAACTCAAAGTTCTGCTTCTATTTATCAGGAATGCTTGAGAGAGCATAGACTTTACTTATTCACTACATAGTAACGCTTCTTTAGTCATCATTTTTGTATTAAATTCCATCGATGTCTTGGAGTTGGAGAAGAAAAAGAACCTGCAGAAAGACCTTAACTAAACTGCAATCTTCTTATACAGTTCCTCCAAAATTTATTCAGTATGTTATGAGTTATAAGCTCCGTATCTAAATTCTTCCTTTTTAACAATGTACCAACCCTTGACAGGAAAGCTAACAGATTTACAGTACTTGCCTTTTGCTGCACTCTGCTGGAACAATCCATTTTTCAACTGAAAACACTGTTCCGTGTGCAATGCAAACGTTAACAAAAAAGAGAGAGGCAATCTTATTTCTTGTAAAACTGTACCCCTTTGAAGCACATGTACTTTCCAAAACAGAATTTAAACATTTAAATCTATACTTAGTTGACCTAATAAAGTGTCCTATTTCCCATGGCAGAGCACCTGAAACAGTCCTCGACAGAACAGGACTAAAGAGGGGTTCCTACTGCTCAGACTGGAACTGCAGCAAAGTGCCTCAGTGAGGACTGAGAAGCCTCCTGAAACACTGATTGCAGGAGTCCGGACTTGCAGGCATCATTTCAGCTATCTCACTGGATAAACATGCTATTTTAAAAAAGCAATATGTGCACAGAAATGTAACCCCCTCATTTGATCCCCAATCAAAATATGAATACATTAAGAGACAACATCAGTTCTTATAACATTCACAGAAAATGCGACAAGACTTTGAATCTCTTAAAAAATTACTACAGTTTACTGGACATTTAATGAAATTTTAAAATTTACAGTCCCATTTGTTTCATTAAAAAATGAATAAACCTACCAGGGCTAGAGAACAGACTCAGCTTGTGTTAACAGAGCTGTTAACTCCCGTGGTAATTCATTCTGGCTGAGGATCTGCTCCAGAATCACCCCAACATGCTACACAAACTAAATGTGACCTCCTACCAGAAAAATACACCTGTGATCAAAACAAAGGGTTATGGCTTTTTTCTTTCCTTCCCCCACCCCAAGAGTAAACTCCTTTGCAGTGACCATCAACTTTAAAAAAAATATATATTTTTTTGAAGGTGAAGTAAAATAAAACAGATGCAACAGAACAGAAATGTCATCAGCTTGTTGAAGGAGTCCAACGGCAATGAGGAAACGCTTGCACTCTTACACCTCTCTCGGGAGCTGCAAATACAGATGTTGGCACCAGTCCCAGAACACAAAGCATACTTTTCAGTTTTTACTAATACCTGATAAAATTGTATCACGGCATTATTGGTTGGAAAGAAAATTAAGGAACGACCCTTCTTAATGCTTTGTAGTCCCCATAAATCTAGAAAACCCTTCTCAGGGAAAGGTCTCCACAGATTTCCTTTTAGTCAGTCATTGCCCTTACAGATTGCCTTGCTGAATTTAAAACCAAGCATAAATAGAGGCAATAACCAACAAATCACTCAAACCCTCACATGAACAGTGAAGTCATGGGTTTGGAGCTTACAGGTACAGAGTGTATAAACAGTGACATAGGGAACAAAACATGACTTTTTCAGAGAAACTATGTACTTCAAAAGTTAAGTACTCAGCCTAAAATCGGACAGGGCAGCTGGTTTCTCTGTAAAGGCACTGCTGGTCTTCTGCCCACCACTACCCTCAAAAAAAGTTTAATAAAATACATTTCGGAAATTAAAACTGGTTCTCACAGAACAAATTTATGCACAGAGGCCAAAGATTTCCTGTTCCATAGATGGGTTTCCCACAGAAGAAGAAACAAACAAGCAAGATGAAGACTTCTGTCAATGTGTTTTTCTCCGTTTCTCCCTGATGCCTTTGTTAAAAGTTAAAGGTCAGTGATACCACAACAATAAGCACCAACGGAGAGTTATATATCCACGCGTAACCATCCCAGTCTGCAATTTGTAACCTGTAACCTAACAAAAAATAAGGGAAGAATGGGTGAAGGAACTTTCTGAAGACACTGGGCTTCCAACAGTAAATGGATAGCACAGGCAACAATTTAAGAACTAGAGAGAAAGAGTTTAGTGTTGGGTAGGAATAAAATCAGACAGACAGTTCTGTTGTAGACATTTCCACTACTGTGGATTTCAGAAAAAAAAAAAAAAAAAAAGGGAAACTTTGCATATGACAGGGAATTTCACATCATAGAATTTTTACTAACTGCAATTATAAACTACGATCTCCTCACAGGCTTGTATACAAAGGAAAAAATAGCAAAAGATAAACCAAAAGAATAAGAGTACAATCTGGTAGACATGAGTAAAACACTGAAGATTAAGTCAACCTGCAAGCTGTTCCTAACTTCCGCAGTTTATACTTTCTGCATACAATTAAACAAAAATAAAACCAAAAACAAACCAACAAACAGGAGACATGATCTTTAAATTTGTCAGAAGAGACAATTCGACAGATGTTTTAATGAATCATGTTCCTTGTGTCAAACAATACCGAGTTCTTCCCGAAAGGAGGTAAAAATCTGAAAGACAGCTCTAAGTAGCCAACAAGTAATCTGATTCTGTTTCCACAACAAAAAGAGAAAAGAAATTGAGTGTATTAGACGTTCATAAAAGCTAAAAGGAATAAATGTGGCTAGAAGACATAGAACCTACTGAAACACAACGACAGTCTTTGAGAACACTTAAGACAGACTTTCAGTTGCGCACTGGAATGTAGCAGACAGCTAACGCACGATGCCCATTAAGGAGAAATGAAAAAATAAGGAAAATGCAAAATGTTTACTTTTCCTCTAGCAAAGCATGGGATTTTCTCAAAACTGAAACCCCATTCAAAGTAGAACAGAGGCAAGGGCTACTGTTCTCTTTAACATGACAAATCTAATTATCTAGTAAATATTTAACCAATAGCTAGAGGTTGCTATTTAAGTACTAGATAATGAGATTAATTAAGGTAGCAAAGGCAAAAGGTTACTAATTTAGGGCATTTCTATGATGTAGTGTTTAAATTACAGGTTTTGCACAAAACGCATGGCCAATGCACAAGAAAAAAGTCCAATTTTAACGGAATGCGGAACAACTTAATGTTTTAACATTATAATACTACTCAATTGTATAATGGGATTTTGCGAAGTGTCACAGAACAGAAAATCAGAGTAACACTCCAAGGTACGCTTGTTAACCTCTTCAACCTCTCATGTTAGGAGCCTACAGACAGCGGTAAATAGACACAAGGCAACATGAAAGACTCTGAATTCAAAGGCCGTTAATAGGTGTTGCTTTTTCTAAGCAGATTGGCCTTTAAGAGTATAAACAAAGAACAAGACAATCATGTTATCCATACCAAATACTTTCACATTTTGGAAAGGGAAATGGAATGATTCCTTTAAAAATACCACTTAAAAAAATCCAGTTCCTGTGATATGTCTTTTTCTCCACTTCTCTTTCCCACATTACAGGAATCTAGCCTGGAAAGTACAGTCTTCAGGACCCATGCATAATCTTTTCTAGGTTGACCAAAAGGCTTTTTGGAAACATAAGGATTACAGCTGTTACAGACGAAACCTGCCACCTCAACATTTCACCGACCTGGCCTCCACCCAGCAAGGGACTCAGCAAACAGTTTTAAGACCTCTATAGTAATACCATGTCTGTGTCCATAAAAAATCACCAATAACAAAAAAAAATGGCAGCCACAAAACTTTGTCAAAGAACTCAAGGCAAGCAGAATGGGCAGAACACTAATAAAAGCCTTAAAATAATACCTCTGTAGTTATGATACTCATCATTAACGTCTTCTTCCTTTCTGACTTCTGACCCCCTCAATTTCATTACACCATCCTTCCCTCCATCAACCACCTTTTTCATTTTCATACTGGTCTAAATTATCCACAATAGAATATTTAAAGACTTCACAATGTAGAAGTACCTACTGTATGGAAGTCAGTCGTTACGCATAACTGAAACATAAAATAGACCTGTTGAGATGCCAGCTGGCAAGAAGAAATGGTAAAGAAACTTCTTTTCCCTTTTGTTTTTGTCAATTTACAGATTTTACCAACAGTTTAGCTCCAACATAAACTGCACCTTTTATCTAAATTGGGAGAACGGCCATACAAGTTACATTTTTCCTCAGAGAGGTAGTGGCTAGAGCAGGAGCTCCCAGATGACTGCAAGGGACATACACACAATTTTTTTTTTTTTTTTTTTTTTTTTTTTTTTTAAATAACTGTCTATACCATTTTGTAATTTTTCTTCAGGAATCCACAGTTCACTACTATACTTCCTCTAGTAAGTGATACCAAGAAGAATCCTAACTGAGCTGATCAGGGGGGTGCAACCAATGCACAGGCAGTATTAGACGCACTGGGCGGAGCAGGGGACTGATGACCTGAGGTCTACTCCCACCATTGGTCTATACAAGTCATTTCCAGCCAGCCATCATCAGTGACCAAATTAAAAGTCACATCTCTAAGAGCACCCAAGACCAACGGAACGATTTAGACGGAACGGATTTAGATTTTCGTTCTCTATATGTCAATTAAAATCAGTAGGTGTAGAGACTGACGTAAAATGATTTTAGATTAAGTCAGCAGACAAAACAGCCTGGTGTTGGTGGGTTTACAGTAAAGATACAATAGCAATGAAATCCACTTCAATAGCCAACTCACACCAAGATTTGCAACCATTAGGTAAATAATTAAGCTAATTTGCCCCTCATATATTTATTTCCCAGGTAGGTTTTTTTTAAGGGGGAGGAGAGAGGTCTTTTTGTTTTAAGTCAAGAGTTGGGCATAAAATGCTATTAAATTACATTAGTTCAGTAATTCCACCCCTTATTATTTAGTTATTGTTATAAATAACATACAAGTCAACACGAACCCAAGCATTTCACTGAATACGAGTATCAAAGTCTCTGAAATATCTACTCGGCATGAATTTGAAACCAACAGATACTTGCCATCCAACCACAATGCAAAATTATCATCTCTGTACATCAAAGAAATCCGTATCACTCACTGTGAGCTTACACAAGAAAATTATCTAGTTCAATGTTACTTCAGCTACCTGAAGGCACAGCACCGACGTACATGCTGGTAAAACAAGTATAGTAGTCACCCAAAAGCAAACTATTAAAATTGCATCAGAAGCCACCAAAAGTCATAACAATTTAATATGCATTTAATTCATGACATCTGGACCGCTCAATTGAAATAAGCAATTTCACAAAGATCATGTATCCAAACTCACAAAGTAACCGTGGTATCTTCCACTATGTGCACTCACTAGCTGTTCTCAGGTGTATAGCTTTTATGCTTCCAATACTTTCATACTGCATAATCACAGGGCTGATAGAGAAAACTTTCTAGGAAGCATGAAATAATAATGTTTTCCATCCTTCTATGAAGACTATCAATCTTTTTATCCCAGTTTTGATTACACTACTGCACAGCACTTCCCCTCTTGCCTATGGAATACCCAGGGAAAGAGCCTGTCAGTGATTTAAGATTAAGCACAGGTATCTGATATTTCAGACTATCAGATATGACATTTCTGTCAAAGAAATAAGACTTATCAGTGTTCCTTTCTTGGGGGAATTGTAGCCAACCAGTTCCATTTTCACTCATTCAGATGTACACAGGTTCCTTCAGTCCCTACAGAAAGGTCTCGTATATGGTCTGGAGAGCTCAGGTTAGGCTGAGGATACAAGATCTACCCCTGCAAAGGAGTATTATTTTTACAGCTACAAAAAAGCATTAGCCAATGAAACAAATGTCACAAGAAGTGACAAAGAATGTTCATGTCACAAGAAGTGACATAAATCACTTCTGTCATTGCCTTTACACACCCGAGGGTACAACCTACCCGTGCCCCTGAAGACTGAATCAAAGTTTGGGGAATCCCCTGATGGGACCCTTTAGTGCAACAGCTTTAACGTGGGAACCGCATCCCGGGTGGACTGGGGAAAAATAAACCCAGTGAAGTCACACCTCTGGTCCTTCGGTGATTTGAACGGAGCAGGGGGTGTTCAGACCTGGCTGTTCACCGGTTCAAGGGCAGTGATTCCGTAGACAGGGCGGTGTGACATGGCACAGTGTAGCCCAAAACCTCCTTTGTGGAAAGTGTGACAGGCCAGATTGAACGCAGCCCAGCAGAGCCCAGCTGAGGTGCTTTGTGCCATATCTAGCCCATTTTATTTCCAACATCTTTCTCTTGTGATGGCTGTATTGTTTCCAGCTTTTACACGAGGCTAACTCTTCACAGACAGCCCTACTGAGGATATGAGCCATTTTACCCATTTGTCCACCAAACTGACTGACCTGAAGTGTCCCACACCGGAGCAAGTAATTGCCACCACAGGCCAAAACACGCAAGAGTTGTGCCAGCAATCCTAATACATGTTTCCCAAGCACAGCTAACTACTTTCAGACATTTTTGGAATACATCTTCTTATAAAAAGGAGCCTTGATGACACTGTAAGTATTCCACTGTTAAAGCTGAGTAAGTCTTAGGGAAACATAAACATAACGCTATTTGAACACCAGTAAAACAGAGAATTTTAATTATATGTAATGGCCAATAAGCTACCTTTAGTGGCTATGAAAAAAATACATTTAGCAGAAACAGCAATAAAACAAGAGAAGTTAAATATAACTCTTGCAAAAAACGGGATATTTATTCAAGCCCAAACCAGCTCGTTTGTACTATGGGTGCGGTTCTCACTGACGTTATCTGGGGAAAATGACTATTACAGGAGCGGGCGTGACATATAGCCTTTGAGTCATGCATGATAAATCCTAATAGTTTTGCTTTGAGGTAGAAGTCCTGACTAATCAAGTAATGAATCATTCCCAAAATGTCAAGTTCCTGGGGCCATGCGTGTCAGGAAGAACAGGAAACCAACAGAAGCAAAGAGGGGAGATTGTGCTTCCTTTCAAAAGGCAGTGACAAGGTCCAAATCTTTTGTTGAAGAGATGAAAACAAACTAGAACCTTCCAGCTAGAGTGGCTCTGTTTTCCACATAGCTGTGGTTTTCATGCTAACAACAAAATGCACATGCACATTTAAAAATTCCTATACAGAATTGAATTATAATTTATTTTAAGCGTCAAATACACATATCTTCAGTAGTGGGGAAATTCAGTATCAGGAACTGGACAAAGCTGGAAGAGCTGTCACTGGTTTCAGTTAAGTGGACTCCAGGAAAGTGAGCAAGAAAGATGCCAGATACGAGATTGAACCTAGAACACATGCCTGGAGACCGAAAGACAGAGATCACCAGCAACTCTGCTTGTCCCAGCACCCAAGAGCAGGGCAAAAGGTTAGAACAGATCTGCAGAGAAGGGTGCAGAGAAGGACAGTCACAGAATTGTTCCACACCAGCTGGAAGGCAGGAGATGGTGAGCCGTCTCCAGCCGGGAGCCACATCGCTCCATTTGCGCGGGGCTATGAAGAAGGTGTGTTAGCACGATCTTCCTTCAGCTCTGACACAGGTGCAAAGCTTCCAGATGGCATCACAGTCACACCTAGCTGGTGCTGAACACGGGGGAAGCAGATGCACGACAACGTCCCCAGGCATAAAGGCGAGCCATTAAACACCAGCCCGAACCGCCGGTCTTCTAAACCAGTCCCTCCGGAATAATGGTGGCTTCAATCCGGTAAGGATCTATTCTGAAAACTGATCAGAAGGGTTAGATAAGAAGGACGACATATGCTTAACATTTAAATACTTGTCAACTCTTAATTGGAATATTGGTTTTCATTTGAAGTGCTGAAACCTCAGAGAGGACATCCTGTGATTCAGAAGATACAATTCCAAATTAGCCAGTTACCTCAACCATGATCATGACTCACACCCCAAAGTAATTTTCCCTGATAGCGTCAAATACTATCAAATGGACAAGAACTGTCACACAGTATTTTAATACTTTAAATACTACTTGACAAAGTTTCAACGCTCTTGCTTCATCACAGAGCACAATGAAAGAGACAGAACATGAACGATCAGCAGCACTAGGGTGAAAACTCCTCACAATTCTCTTGTTAAGTAAGATGTGCTCAAAGGGATTCTAACTAAATTCCTTTAAGTTCTGTCCACAATTCAGATTAATTACACATTCTGCTGAAACCTCAAGAAACATCAATATTTATCACACTTCCCGTGGCCTCCTAAAGTACGTCCAGGGTTACAAAAAATTTGATTTTTCTCCATACATTTAACTTTGAAAGTTTATTGTATCATACCTTTCTCTTTTTGGATGCTTTTCTAAACATTTAGTTAACACTTTAACATGAGTTGAATGTTCTTTTTGTGTGAGTATTTTAGAGTAAACTTAAAGCTGCAAGCCAGATTCTACAGGCTTTAATCAGGTGTTGCTCAAAATTATTTTGTTTCTTTCCTTGAGAAAAAGAAAGCTCCAAAGTTGACATTAGATTTGATTATTTCAATGTTAGCTTTCAAGACTAGAACAGATCCTGTCATGGAGTACAGCTACTCAGTGTCACTCTGAAAATAACATGGCATTGAAGGGCTCCCAAAGGATCAAACCAGTTGCAAGAAAATTTATCCATAAACAACGAACAAACATAAGGACACCTAAATACCAATCCTGTGCTGTGGCACGAAACCGTGGGCCAGTCGTAAGTTTTAGCAGCTGGCATTAATTCATAGCACTGTTGCTTCAATTCCATCTCAAAAACATGAAACGATCCATCTTTCTGTTTAAGTTAGGCTATGCCAAAGAAACAGTTGTGTAACAAAGTTCATAAAGTCTCGAAAATATTAGAAGCACCTTTCTTCAAAACTGTCATATGAAAGGGAAATGGCAACTCCCATAATATTACTGGCTGAAAGAACCAGTGCACTCATTTAGAGACATTTGACTCCAAATCCTTCACAAAATTCATGTTTCTCTCCAAGTCTCTACCGAATGCTCAAGATCCCCAACCAGTATGCAGGGCTGTATATGTGAGGGACGGCTCAGACCACAGACCTCAGGGAAAACGGCCACCTTTACATGGGAATAAAGCGCTCTCGGTCACAGGACACAAATTCCGACAGAGTTTACTGCCCTGTAAAGAATTAAACTGGATCCTCCTGATGGAACCGCCTTCTTTACTCCAAATGAGGAGTCACGATATCTCTGCCTGGAAGCAATCGTTTTTCTTGACCACTTCTAACAGACTGAGGGCGAATGCTACGCTTACTTTCCAGTGCTGCTAGCTGTACGAACGAGATAATATCAGAATGATGAAGGGAGAATAGATGAGGGAGATTACACCGGAAAAAATCCGTTTATTCCTATTCCATGTAAATAGTAACCAATGAACAACACTTGAAGTCTGAAAGACTATTTGAATACATCTCCCCTTGTTTCAAGCAGAGTTTTTAAGTGAAAAATTCCTATGCACATGAATCTCTTCAAGATTAAACAGGACTATAAAACCAAAAGCAAGCTTTTCCTCCTCCATTACACACACTGATGCCTGCTTATACATTTCTCTGTTATTGTGAAGATGAAAAGTAAGGTTGAAGTTTCCTTATATTCCATATATTTCCTTATATGAAGTTTCCTTATATTCCTATTACCCATTAGTAATTTTACTGTAGCACTAAATACATCCTGCCTAGTGAGTATACAAGGACTACTACAATAGGACTAATGCAAAAATTCAGTGTATAAAGAGAAATGCTTTTTACCAGAGAATCAAATGTAGCTTGATTAATTTTCTCTGATTTGGTGTATATAGGTGTGACACACATTGTACATCTACCTACTTATCACACACACAACTTTTATTTGAAGATGAAAATCTGCAAATTAACATTTACAATCTACTCCAGTTGTAAAATTCAAATCAGTTCAGCAATGCATAACAACGTGCAGGTAGGCAAAGAAACTGCACAGAATAAGTTTAAAGCAGGTACATATCACACCTAGGCAATGAAACTACACGGTGAATATCCACCATTATTTTATTTGTATTTAAAAGGCTGTTCACACAAAGGTTATGTAACTGCTTCAGAATTGTTCTGATGTACGGAAATAAGGGAAGCAGTAAGAGGCACCTTTATATCCCTGTGGATTTGGAGAGGCTACACCATTACAGATTCAATTTTTAAAAAAACTCCTAAGCTGTAATAGTTATTCTATTAAGAATGTAACTCATACAGAGCCCAAGTCCTGAAGAGTCTGGGTCAAAACCCCAAATCACATACTCATACTAACCAAAAACTCCTTCCTGTTCTGGGTGGAAAGGTTCGGAATACACTACATATACATACCAAAACACACTCGTTTCCCTTCTGACTGCAAAACCCGGGGTAAAAAGTAACAAAACCTTTCTTTGTACGTAACAACCACTTTGGTGAAAAATGAGGGGATAAAACAATGCAAATTTTTCTTTTCTCATTATAAAAATATTTAACATGACGGAGAAGATTAAATTCTCAGAAAATGGTAAAGGTATAAAAATCAATTTCTTTTCTAACAGTTGGAGTATATTATTGTGGGATTTATCATACGTATTTTATTACAAAACCCCCTAAAACCTCTACATCACTTACTCAGAGTTCAATGCAAATTCCACTGAAGCAAATAAGAGCCATTTCACTAAGAGTCAAAGGGGTACGGATCAATATTCTCCACTGAATTCATCCTGCACTGGGAACACTAGTAACACAACCACAATGCTCAAGACAGAAACTTTCTAAAGGGGAAAATAGAGACGGCTTGTTTGAACAATTCTTCTGAAAAGCAGTATTCTCAAAAATACAATCATATTAATTCCCGTGTCAAAAAGGTTACACACTTAAAAGAGGTCAGACTTTACATTCTTTGTATTTATCCAGCCTCATGATTCCTTTACCGAAAACACATCTGCCATATTTTGAATACTTCAGCTATTTGCATTGAGATATTTGTGATCAAATAAAGGCAGAAGATGAAACTGAATTAAAGAAAACAAGGTCTTTTCTAATATAGGAAATGCATCATCAAGCAATCTCATTTCACCCACACAGCAAAGAGACAATGTTAAATCCTACCCCAGCTCTCACCTGTAAATCATATGGAGCAGCGGGGTCTCTCTGGTATACTACATTTTTGTTTGTAGTAACAACAACAACATTTCTTTGTTACAGGGGGATTCACACAAACAAAAGAAAATTACAATCTACCAAGAAAAATGTGAGCTTGCCTAAAATAAAGTTTTAACAAATACGGGAAAATGCAAGCATTTGATTTCTGGAAGGAAATTCTCTTCCTCATTCTCCTTTCAACTACACTAATTCTAATTTTAAAAGCTTACAACAGTAATTATTAAGAAAAGCACCCATCTAATTTTGGTTTGAAGAACTGAAATAAGCTTCTGCACTATGCCTCTATTTCCACTACCTGGTTTTTGTCCTGTTCTCAGAACTCATCTTTCCATTCAACTGCAAGAAAACTGTCAAGTACACCCCAGCTGCTTTTAAGTTTAAAGGTAACAGTTCTGCACAGAGAAGACTCACTTCTGTTTACCTTTAGGGCTTCTTTAGACATGCCATTTCTGTGTTAAAGAATTATCTGTCTACCACAACAATACCCAATATTTCCTAAAGTAACCCAAAAGGCCCCACTTCCAAACTGAAACTATCTCATAGTTAACTCAGTCACTGTAAAGACTGAAATAAAGGCAAACCCGACTCACATATAATTGTATATGGAAAGGCATTTTTCTCCAATTTAAAGAAATATTTTCTTAGAGCAAGCAGTAAGGAAAAAAAAAATTTCTTATTTTTTTAATTGTTGTGATATATACTACAGTGCATAAAGGTAAGTCTTTTTTCCAGCAAGAAATCCCACTGTGACTCAGCTTCTCTAACAAGGCATGTTGGAAGGTAAAATCGGATCCTCCAACAGAAAAGCACAAAACATATAAAGTAACTTCTTAGCAAAGGGGACACGTCATGACACAAGTGTTATTATAAGCAACGCAGGGCTGAGGCAAGGAAAGAAAGAAAAATTTCTTTTATTCCTTGCATACTTCCAGCATGGGGATGGTTTAGGAATGATTCTTTTAAAAACATTGTTCTTCTGCAGCTATCACATTCTGAAATGGTTAGAACATAACATCCCCATAAGGAAGGACTTGGTCAGCCTCATACAATTCTGTTGTGAATGTTACACCAGCCAAACCATTCCACCAGTTTACAGTTTACCGTAAAATACTCACACTAGCTATGAACTATAAAATACTTTCACATGAACTATAAAATATTTACACTGTCAACATCAGTTAGGAAAGAATGATGTGTTGTCAAGCTGGTGTGACCCAGGAGTAAAGATTCTGTGGTCACAGATTAAATAAAACTATTGAGAATCAGTTGGAAAGTTACAGGGAGTATTAGGTTAAACAAATTACTGCTTCCTGGTCTCTTGGATGGTAAATGTAACCAGGAAAGCAAAGCTTATATGCTTTAAGCTAAGCTTTACCAACAACATCAGGAAAGGTTAGGCTCATAACCAAGCTGTACTGACCTCTCTGAATGTTCCTTCTAGCAAGGTGTCCAGAAGTTGAAGAGGAGCGGGAGTTTTGTCTTTGAATCGTGTCAGCAATCGCTGCTCAATAGCTCGAAACCGTACAGCCCTTTCAGATAACCGCTCCCGAAACTTTTCAGCATTCAAACCTAGCTGCAATTTAAGCATTTTCAAGAAATCAGGTTAAGGGTCCTATACACGATGTATGGACATTCCAAATGAAACAGGAGAACAGCAGCAACATTTCTGGGAGTGGGTATTATTCAAATGTTAATGTCATTTATACCAGTTTCATATTTTACACTCCTCATGCAGTCAATTAACATTTTCAGGAATTATCATTTGCACTAAAACCAAAACTAATTGTCAGCAGCCACAGACTGTGAAAATGTATAAATACTCATCAGCAAGCCTAATAACAAGAGTGACATTTCACCACCAGGATCTCAAGACTTCTTGGGTCTGTGTGCTATTTATGACACATACACGCAGTGTACTGGACTTGGCACTTACTGCAGTGGAAAGTGAACGGTTATTCCCTTACGCATAAATACAAGTACTAAATTCTGCACTGTTTGAACGATTGTCTTTTTCTGAAGCTAAATCCTTTTTATATACACTGATTCTTTTTTTTTTTTTTTTTTTCTGGAAAGGTGGGGGGTGGGAAGAGTACATATATTTTATTTTATTAACTATTTCTACAAGCCATCTGAACTACTGGAGATTTTTCTTTGTCATCTGCATGACCAAATAGGAAAAAGTAATTACATTTGTTTTATATCTGGTCTGGTAAGCTTCCTCAAGCCTCCAACGCTACTTCCACAAGGACAGTCAGTTCTTTAAAATCTAAAGGAACTTTTTATATAACTACCAGGATGATTGAACAAAAAGAAAAATACTTGTGGTTTCACTAGTACAGAAGAGTAAAACAGCCTAAAACTAGGGCAAATATTAGAAAAAAATGTTAGAATTGATGTTAGGGAAGGAAGAATCCACAGTTTATGTATAGCCAGCGAGCAGAAAGGCAACTCTCGGCACCACAGTTTGTCTCATTTGCAGACGGCGCACTAGCTACTTGTGCTCTGCTCATCACAAGGGCTGTTTCAGAGGCAAGGCATATTCCGTATGTTAAAAATTACATGACCTTTTTTCCAGCAGTACCTTAGATACAGCCTTCTATTTCCTGAAAGCTACAGCTATAGTTATAATCTGATTCACCACAGTACTAACATGCAAACATTTTTAAAACTAGAACATTAACGATTCACATATGTGACGTACCTCAATATGTCAATCAATTAGTTCAAAATATTCTTGCAGAGGAATTGAACCAGAAAAAGTACATGCAAAATCTTTGCAGTTTTGCTTCTTGAAATGTTCTCTGAGTCGAAGCGTGAGCTCTTCTGTTATTAGCCAAAGGTCTTCCAACTGATCGCTCTGGATTCTACATCATTCTCTGAAAACAAATACACAACTAATAACAACACATTTAAGCCACACAGATTCACTATGCAACGCAGTTTAGATAACACACAAATTTAACTTGCTGTCTCCAAAATCTATGAGAGATTGCTGTAAGAGATACATGTTCACTAGTGTTAAAGAAATTCTTGTATTTTATTGATGTCTGTTGTACTCTCTATTTTATCCTAACTCCAGCAATTTCATTGCACAAAATGAAAGTATGAGCAGGAGCCCGCTCACGAAGAACAAAAAGCTACGAAGAACTACCATAAGGAAACAAGAGAAATACTGGATGACATTAAGCCGTAACAACAGGCTGTCTGCAATTCCCTGCCATAACTCAGCCGTAGTGAGCTTTTCGGAGGGTTGGAGGCAAAACCAGGCTCCATACACTTTGGACGACGACAGAAGCACAGCACCCTAAGCGTCTGACAGCCGTGGTAACAAGCCACCTTCAACCCACCTGAAACCTTGTCTGTCTTTTGGAAACAGTGAGTTCTTTGATAATACAATCTGTATTTTTTATTATATCTCCACTTTCCAGGATATCTTCTAGTAGGAAAAGTATTACTCTATTACCCCAGCTAGTGACAGACAACAGTTTTGACAGTGCCGTGCTCACTCCAGACACAGCTAATATTAGTAGAAGGTGATTTTTATCCATCTACGCACTATGGCTTTGTAAAAGTGGCTTAGTACAGAAATTAGTGTTAATATAAACTGAAGTGAAAAAACAAGTCCTGTTGGCCAGTGTCATCCATCCCAGCAAATTCATTTAACTCATCACACTTTAGTGAATTTCAAATTATCGAACTAGGGGGATGAGATTTTATTTCTGTTGTTTCTAGTCCACATTTGTATAATCCTCTCTTCAGTTTCCAGGAAATCAGAATTAACGGAATGTTGAGAGGTGAACATTGTGGAAAATCACAGCAGCATTTTAATTTATTTTTTTTTTTCAGATAAACACTTTCAAACAGTTCCTTATTTCTTTTCATTTCTCATCTACCAATACCTTATCCAAAAGGACAGACAGAAATACAGCTATGAGGAAGAAGAGTTGCTGAGTCTCGATACTAAACAGTTCTTCTTTTGCCCTGTTAACAAGGTTCACAGTAAATTAAATTAACCAGAAATCTTCAGAACTTGAATGTACGTATTTAAAATTTTCTCAACATTAGCAATTCAAGATTGTTTGACATTACCGCTGGCATTCCCAGCATACATATTTCACCAAAGAGAAAATGACAAATTCTGTTTAGAGTGTAACAGGAAAGAAGCAAGTTTTATTTAAAAATAGAACACCATCTGCTAAAGGTAGCACTCAACCTAATATCCATCTTTTAAACACTCACAGTGTAATCGCTGGACTTAGCTGCGTGCATCATCATACTTTGCCTTAAGTTATTTTCTCCTTGAGTGAAATTAGCTCAGATGTTTTCAGGCCAAATCAACAGTCATTCCATTTATAATTGACATATCGAATACATTAATGGTTTAAAGTGCATAAAACTCATTTCCTCCAAAATGCGTATTTAGTTTCCACACATTGTTGGTCAGGACAAACACAATCTCATTTCACCGTGGCCAGAGTAGAGACCATTGCAGTAATTTGCTTTACATGATCTTCCAGTTCTCAAAAAAGACAAATTAGATTTAGAAACTACAAAAATGATAATCTTAAATTGTACTGTACAAAACTGAGAATCTAAGCTGTACAAAAATACAGTGAAAAAAATAAAGAAATACCCGTGCTTCTGCTCATCCTGTGCTTTTAGAATAGTTTAGAAACTTGCGTTAGCTTTTTGTTAAAATAAACTCTGTTACAGAAAATGAAAACAGATTTTCAGAAAATCCTCAAACAGAAAAGCAGGAGGCTACAAGGAGATGTCCAACTAGCACAACCTGCATTAAGAACTGCCCTCCCAGTAGGTTATTTGAAGGAAATATTGAGGATTCAGTTCACTTCTCAGCTACGAAGCAGAAAAAAAACAGACACCATTAGCAGTCAAGCCTTCTTTAAACTTTGATTAAAGTTTTAACAGTTTTTTTTAAAAATCATCAAAAAAAAAAACCCAACCTTCAAACCTTGATCTACATGGGGCAAGCTTCTTTTTAATATGTATTAACTGTCAGAACAAACTTTAGGCTGGGCTTCTTTGCAGCAGTCCTCTTGACAGGCTGCAGTAACCGCACTGTTCCACATGGATTAGCCAATGCAGTTAACAACAAAAGGGAAACAGATTCATTCCAGTTTGCCGCTTCCGCAGTGAAACCCAACTTTTATTCCTACATGCAGTTCTTCCCATTCAGAGCTTAACGTCCATTTGCTAAGGGATATGGAAAACGGTCTTCTTCCATTGTCCAAGATTAACTTATTTCATGGAAAACCAGAAATAAGGATTGATCAGTCCCAATGAACTTTTTAACTTCTCCGAGCACTATTACTTCTAGTTCTAGTCGGTATTTATCTACACATACAATTTTCTTTTTGAAGAACGTTTCCATGAGGATAATGTTGCATAAGCGCTTTTACAAAGTATAAACTCAGTGTTAAATTGCACGGCAGAATAAGGACCCCCCAAATAATACACAATTTCATCTGCATTCATTAGTTCCACGGACGATCTGTCCACTCAAGCACAATCATTTCGGTATCATGAAATTCTGCCAAACAATGCTTTTGTATTATGGACGGTGTCTGCTCGTAAAAATATTCTGAATTATGCTTGAGTATCAGACCTTTTACCGATTTTTTTTTTTAATGTTTTACTTCAGCAACATTTCAAATAAGCAACCCCCCCTAAAAAATTCTGTAGCCAACACAATCCACTGCATGAAGAGGATGCAGAAATGGGCTGCTAACATAGAAGGTGGACCAACTCATGTGTTTTCTAAAGTCAGGATTCCCAGACACTAGAACGGAGTAGTCACACTAAGAGAAACAGAGGTTTTGAATCTGCTTTGTGAAGTGAACTTCACAAGTAAAGCTGTGTGGGAAAGTTTACAGTGAGACTGCAAGCGTCATTCCAATCCAGTGAATAAACAAACCTGAGAGGGAAAGCTTGAGGTTTTGGGGTGGGGGAATTAAAAGTTAGAGCCTCACTAGAAGCTAAAATACATTCACTACACAGACACAAATTTGTCCCTTACATAGCATCAGAACAAAGTCCAAATGAAAGATTTAAATTGTAATCCAGAAAAAAAAAATAATAATTTATAAATCCTTTTAATTCTTTACTTTTTAGAAACTATCTTTGCATGTCTAGTTAAGATCCACTATTTCAATAAATATTAAAAACAAACTAACACTAAAACAACATGCAAATAATGCATACACAGACCAATACAAATGGATTTGAACCCTAGAAATGTAAAGTGACGCTTGGTACAATGGAAGTTACTCTCCAGATTGTTTCTGGTTTTAACACCAACATTATCTCATAGCTCACAGCAGACACCACCAATATACGTATAACCCATCATGAATATTCATTTTTTTAAAACAGTGAGGCTGTGAGCCTGACATTTTTGTGTCAAAAGAATGTCACATCAAGTTATTTAAAAACATGAAGTTCAGTTTGGTCTAGAAAAACATTTCAGCCATCACACAGCCTAGACTCTCATCATAACCACCGTGTTTCAAGGGAGAAGGGATGTGAAGTAAATGCTTAAATTAAAGTGTCTACACAGGATAAGGTACCCAAGAGCACCACCCTCCACAGAACCCCCCAATCCACATGCATTTCTTTGATGCCGGTCTACTCCATGTCACTTCCATCTGTGCTGGCACAGCTCTGTGTTTGCACAGTGAACCACATCGGCAAAGCTGGCCGAGAAAGAACTGCTGATTGTGTGAGCACAACAGGGGAGGAGGTGCAGGAGCAAGGCCAGGCAGGGAGAAGTGAAGGGCTGACAGCTTAAACTGGTTTATGCTGCATTTAACTGGACAGGGGAGCCCTGCCTAAATACAGTTTCGCAGTAGCCTGACACATTCACGAGGCGGCGTGTAGAAAACCAAGCCGATCAGTCTTCAGTCATGGATAGCAGGGTAAATGTGCGTACTCTATCACTAGGGTCATCAGGGCAGTATAGAACAGAACTCAGACGGTTTCTATTCCTTTGGCTCAGTTGATTTGTTTAGAATGAGTACGTTCAACTGTTCAAAGGGAAGTGAGGAATAATCACTCCCAATGCTTACTCAATCTCTGTGGGGAGAAAGTTATTGTCACATCTGTTGGCAGCCCACAAGGCTGAACAGTCACAAAGATGGAATTAACTTCTCACTCCTAGAGGTGGTCCCTTAAAGGGCACAACAGAAGCAAATGGACAGGACAGGCTGGGAAAGCTCGTACAGCTGCTTCCCGAGCCATAAACATACGATTTTACCTCTTCAAGACCAACTGCGTAACATAACTGCATAAAATATTAACTAAAACTGAACACTAGTCTCTCATACACATTATTTCATTAATTATTGAAGGCAGTAGCCTTCAATATATTTCAAAACAACATTTATAAGGAATACGTAAAGAAAAAGACCTAGAAAAAGGCAAATCAATTTGAAATCTCCAGTGGCTTACCTGTTGGTGTATTATATGAAATCACACAATTTCCTTCTAGTTCTGATGGAGAACAATTCCCCTTCAAAAAGACAGACAGGACCACAGTTTCAGATGAATCTGGTTCTAAAAACAACACAAAATTATATCAATTAATAGGAGTATCCAAATGAAAGCGACATATTTTCTAGCCCATTTGGAAATAGTCTACTAAATTATGACAGTTATTCCCATCAGTTCACCTTTATCAAATAATGGACATGGGTTTTTTAAATCTGTAATTTGTAAAAGGCAAACTAGTCTTGCCAACTTAGAACTGTCTTGAAGCATAACCAATAACACAATTCAGCACACCGAACACAGACAGTATCCAAATAAATGCAGTTTTATACTGTGACTCTAATATTTTACAAAGCCGTCAGCCCTTTGCTCCTGTCACATAGTGAGAAAACATTAAAAATGTCCTTTCAGATGAGAGCAGCAGTCAGTAAACCCCTGTTTCAGTAGGGACCATGACTGCGTATTTCAGAGCAGAAACGGCCGGCAGACCCAGCTTTGGCAGGACACGCTTCTCTGGTCTTCAGTTCCACTTAAATCTTCAAGGCAATCCCACCTGCAGCCTTATCAACGGAGCTGGGAAAAAGCTCCAATCACCACGCGGCCGATGCTGGGACTGTCCACATACGCCAGGAAACCTCTGTTGGGAACATCTGCCCGACCGTCCATAGGTCAACAGCTTTCTGTCCCTGCTTTCAGCTCAGCAGTGCTACTTCTACATAGACAGAATTGCCAGCAAAACACAACGCCCCAGCAAAAGTACCGCAGAATAACGGATTTATTTTTGCCTCCATCATGAAGGTGCCACCCTGCCTCTCCACTCCTGCCATGCACCACACCCTCATCACGGAGCAACTCCATTCCTTCCCGCTTTGTCCTCCTCCACCAAGCAGTATCCAGAGCTGCAGAGCGCCGGCAGGGCAAGCCTGTCGTTGCTTTAACTGCACTCCATCTGCAACGATGCATTCAATGGAGGCTGGACTATGCGTTCGGACATCCTCAGAAAAAGGAATACGATCCCATAGCTGTAATGGGACTATGACAATCTACCGGAATCATCCAAGACGACCTGGTCACAGGTCACTGCCAGGTTTGGTTTCTGCGCAGTCACTCCGCTCTGTATTTTTATCTAAATCAAGTGACATACAAAAGTATTTAAAGGAAGCAATCAATCAACCTCTATATAGCTGAAAACCAACAAAACCAGCAAAAAGATACGAAAAACCTGTAAAGAGCAATTCAGCAACAATGTTGAAGAACTTCAAATTTCAACGTCAAAACCAATATTTTCCTTTTACAATTCTTATTTACTTAAAGCCAATAATGGAACACAACTTGAAAGGTTACAAAAACCTGAGGAGATATCTCATGTTCTTTGTAATTTTAACCCAAGACAAACTAATGCTAATTAAAATGTTAATATTTCGCAAGTGCCATGTGCATTTGTCCTAAATTAAGTAAGAATAATATGTTGACTCTTTTAGGTGACTAAAGTAAAAAATCAAAAATAAGTAAAAAAAAGCTAACCAAATAAATTATCCCCTTTAATTGTGAAGAGCAATGCACAGTCTTCTGAATAACTTCAGAGTCAAGTTCTATTTGATTTTTTACTGCAAACAAATTCTAAACCTCAATATACAGGATACCCAGCACAACTTCAACTCTAGATTATGAGAGCTGACCTAACCATAAGCCTGGAGTGGCTCTGCTTGCTTCTATTGCAGGCAGCTATTTTCTGCAAAACCAACAGATACCAAAAGAATGTCCTTAACTCAGAGCGAAAACGAAAGTACAGTGGTGTCGGATGGGAACGTGGTCTGCAATATACACAGACCGTGTCTGCTATCTCTCACCATCTGCTTGGTCTCCCAAGAGCTCACTACAGCAAGGTTAAAATAGTTTAGGAAAATATTATCACTTATAAAATGACCCTGGTGTTAGGAAGCCTGACTACTTTTAGAGAACCGACATCAACATTTATTTTCATATAACAATACATTTGGGCTGCCAAGAGGTCCTCGGATCACCCATCGTTGTTAGTGCTAACAAGGAGGGATCACACCTACCTCTCCACATACCCAGGGTAGACTTGGCCCCATTTTCTGAAGCCAGAATCTCAGTAAGATGAACAGCGAAGACGGAGTCAATAGCCAATTAAACGAGCTAAAAACATGCAGACATGAATTCAGAATTTGTAATCAAAACAGCCACATTTAAAGTTACTGCCAAATGCTACTTCAGCGCATTTCTGTTAGGTTTGGCTTTCTGCTGCATATGAAGTGAAGAATGCTCTTATCCAGAAACTTTTGTCAAAAGCATCTAATTTTATTAAAACTTTTCCGACAAGTCTATCACTGTTGCAAAATTAAATTTTAAAATTACATTTTTAGCATGAAAATAAGTGACAAATTCTGGAAGTTTTTTTAGACCGCAGTGCATTGCCTGCAGATCTGGGGTGCAACCACCACCATTACAATGGCCAAATAATATTCATTAGCAACATTACCTACTTTGCAGAAAACAATACATTGGTTGTAGTTGTACAATTCAAGAAGACATTTAATTTTAAAATTCATCAAAAATGTTCTCAACTTGTCCAAGGTCAGTGGTTAAGTGCTAATTAGTCTGACAGGAGTTATACAATCATAATGTACAATTATTTCCCATTTTCATAAGAACCAATGCTTTTAACTTTGTAAAGATTAAAGAATTTAATTCATTAATTAAAAGATCTTTTCCATCAACCACAATTAATTAGAATGGAGACATATGAAGATCAGTTAAATGAACTTATCACAGGAAAAAAATATTCTGGAAAGAACTTGAATGAGGGGTAAGTCCTACATTTACTATTTTTGTTTCATTAAAAGCTATAAGATACATAAACAAGAAAACAGAATGGAGAAAATCTTCCCATTAAAAAGTTTATCAAATATATAAAACACATCCACACTCATTTTAAACAGTGCTGGCCATTGCCTTTACAATAGCAACAATGACCAGATGAGAGAGAACAATGGGAGTTACCCGTGCTCCCAATACTGAACTCACACCCACTCTCCAAAACTCAAATTTCACAATTATAAAACTCAACTCACTTATACAATATATTGGCTCCAGTGTAAACTGAAACCCGATAAATGCACACCTTTCTGGAGGTAACTTAAATCTTCATTACATGCTTTGAAGTACCAAACAGCCTGATTCAAAGTCCAATGCCCTTCATTTGAACTTCTTCGAGCAAAACTCTAACAGACTATCGGAATTAGGATTTTATCCTGTAGCAGTTTAGCATTTAAAAATGCAGGAAATACACTGGACCAAGTACAAGTAAACCACATTAGTGTAGGGGAATCTGGTTCAAGAAAGAGCTCAGTTACCCTTTGAACTCTTCACTCAGAGGGAGAACTTGCAAGGTTCTCAAAAATAAGGCTCCACTGATATTATTAGAAGATTCTCTCAAATAAAAACCATGATTATTTTTAGGCAATATGCACATACACACACACTTCTTTTAGAATCAATTACAGGCAGCAACTCTCAGAGGACTGCAATGATGTCAATTGTCAAATTAGATTTTCCTAACATTTTTTTCACTATCAAAAGCTATGACAGTCTTGTTACAAAAGAAAATCTACTTCCATTTATTGACAACTAAAGACAACAAACCTCACATTGTGTGCAACCAAACATTTAATCCTCTTCAAATGTGTTGGAAAAATTATTCTTATAACTTCAAAGCCAAATTCATTCCATGCTAATAATCTTTTTGTGTCTGCTTCTTGATAAGCCTATCAAAAATAAAACCCCAGTTACCTTCTGACTTCAGCAGAAGGCTTGCTAGAATGACACCCTGTCATACTAAGGAGAAAAAGAATTGTGTACATTTACCCATTTTCATGATCTAAGTGAAATACACACAAGGTGACGTGTGTTAAAATTTGCCACCAGTATTTGAATGCTACCGTTTGAGTTAGGCACGGTACCTTGACTGTGACTGATGGTGCTGCCTCTGCTTTGACCTCACTGCCAATGGCTTGCTGTGAAGAAAAAGATGGAAACAGAGAAAATTCAATATTACACATGAATGAGTGAACACAATGAATGCACTGTTACTCTCCTACCATCAACCTGGTAATCAGGGAATAACAGTCAAGGACCTCTCATTCCTACGCCAGATTAAAATACACAAAATACATTTCTGAATTGCTTCTGAAAACGTAAAGCCTCTGTTGGAAATTGCCTGCAAAAAGGATAGCAAAAGGTCATGAATGTGGTGTATGCAAGACAGTAATACACTCTGACGTGCATATGAATGTTTGAAATGGTTTTGTTTGGCACATTACTTTCCACTGTATATTTATTTAAATTCTGGAAATACCTTCTGTTATTCGGTAGGGAAGGGTGACTTCCAATTTGCCAATATATTATATACACACCATAATATATACTATAAAATCATCAAACACTATCTTAGAATCAGAAATATATTTGGAACTTCAGAAGGAAGTTACAGCAGGCATCTTGCTGCTCCTGATAATTTCTACTTCAATAGACAGTTCCATCTAATTCAAAACTCATCTTGACCTTGCAGTCTTTTAATATCTTATTTTATGCTCGTGCTTTATTTTGCAACAGGTCAGTCTGTACAGTTTAAGAAAATGTTCCTGTTTGTTCTTAATTTACTCTTTTATCATAAGAAGCTCTAAATACATTCAGGTGAGTAGTTTGGATTATTAGAGCAGAAGTGAAGCGCTGATTTAAACTAAAATTGTTTAAACAATCTGATGTCCTCGACCCACTCTCCTTTTCATCCCAACCTTCCAGTATAAGGTCCACATCTGCAAAGCTCCTAAGAAGTCAGGAAGCTGGCAGGCTCTCCAGGTTCTAGAAACAGGACTTTCCTTTGCATGTTGTGTATCTTTTTCCGTTAAAAAAAGTATAGCTACTTTGATACTGGCTTGTCACGCCCACTGTCTCTGGGGACCAGCAGCTGATGCCGAAGCAGTAGCAGGGATGCAAAGGGACACGGGATCCCTACTACATTCAGCTCTCAGAATTCTATGAGCTGGACGTCCTGGATCAGAGGCCGTACACAGGAGGTGATGTTAAATAACCACAACGTCCTCCAGGTACTCTCCTAACCCATTCCCATACCTCTATAGCCTCTTTGCTTTTACCACACACATCACCATTTAAATCTTTTCACAAGCGCAGCAGAAGTATCTGCAAGCCTCTAAGTTTCACTGCAGAAACCCTCACACTGTTCCCACATTTGCCGTATTGATCCTTCCCTGGGAAGTATCTTACTGGATTTTCCCTTTCTAGGTGGCTGCTGCAGGACCCCCCCAGAAAGCCTACCACACAGGAGACTAAGACACAAACAGTCTCGGGAAATAAGTTTCCAGGCTGTGGTTCAGTTGATATATTGAGTTATTTATACATGAAACAGACCGTTTGCATCTGGGAGACTGAGTAAACGAGCACAGCAGCGCGAGAGCGTTCTATGGACCTAACAGTTCTAAGTGTTGTGAGCAGACCACTGCAGCTAGCCAAGACCATGTCACGCTGTCCTTTTTTCCACAGACAAGTGCGAGGCCACCAGCACACATTATAAAGATGTGCTTTTATCAAAGAACAACAGTAGTAGAGGTAGTAGCAGTAACAGACTTTAAATAAATACATCGAATATATCTATGAAAGTATTAAAAAGCAGCTCCTTTTGCAGAAATTAGTGGCCAGAAATTACTTAAGATGTTCTAGTGCAATGAGTAAGTTCTAAAGAGTTTTAAGACTATGCAAGCCCTCCTGAATCTGAGTTTGAATTAATTTTTATAAACTACATATGTACACAAGATGAATGAGCTAATTAGGCTGCAACACCAGAGAATGTTGAATGATGCCTTGACAAAGATTATGTCTTACACTGCATCTTTGAGTGGTTTGCATATTCTGTCTTTAAAGGATCCACACAGTGAAACTTCTACTGTTTCCCCCCATATTAACAGCTGTTCACCATGACAAATTCTCATTCCTATAAAGTTATTCCAGATCCTATAAAGTTATTCCAGATCCTATAAAGTTATTCCAGCTCCTACGTTCTCATTCACTGATCTTTGCTTAGCCAAGAACCTAAATATCCCCAGATAGAAGATACAACATTATTTTATTAATTCTAGTTAAAACCATTAACAAAAGTGTGTTTTAACTGATGGAAAATTGGGGGCTATGCAGAAGCTCAGTCCCACAAATATAAATGTGTGGTAATCACTATCTATAATCAACCATTATTTACTCATGTATGAACCAATGTTTTCAGAATAATGTCTTTTATATACTGGTACATACAGATTCTGCATCCAAATTGGGCGAAACTTCTGCTGTGACAATGAGATCTCTGTGTTTTTCAGATTTGGGCAAAGTATCTTGAAAAAGAAAGAAAAAAAAAAAAAAGTAAAAGACTTTAGACACATTGTATCACAAGATTTTACACCTACTATCCATAATCTTCAGAGACTGTAAGGAATTGTTAAACTTCTCTCCTCACATGTATGTACTAATACACCTACGATAAACAGCGATCTCCAAAATACGGACTGCACACGGCACTTTCACCTCAGTAATCTGCTAATTAATTCTAAGACACAGAAACGTTCTGTGCCTCATGGTGTAAAATTAAAATAGATTTTAGAAATTCCTCTGGCAAAGAAGGTGCGTGAACGCTTTATGTACAGAGCACTCTATGGGGCTTAGCGACAATGTACTACCTGGTGATTTCCAGCACTGTCAGTAAGGCAAAGGATGTTAGGAACTCGTTTACAGCTGGGATATAAAACCTTATACAGATTCACAGATGTAAAAAAAGTTGTAAGAATTAAAAAGCAGGCACTTAAATACTATGAGGAATCTAAGGTATTTGTGCTTTTCTGAAAAGTTCTTTTATTTCTTAATACTAAACGTACTGGAAAAAGAAAAACCCCATCAGGAAACGTATAGTTCCTAAAGTAGCAAACGGTAAAGACTTAGCGTAACGGGGAAACTAACATAAAAATTGAGAGCATGAGCATATTCAGGAAGTTGCAAGAATTTTATTACACAAAGGGTCCTGAAAATGTCACAGAACTGGTGGTCAGCACATTATCTCTTTCTCAGAAAAGGATTAAGGGAAAAGATTTTGACGAAGACAGAACATAAGTATTCATTTTCTTTTGCTGAGAGAAAAATACCTCCCTCTACTACAAGGGAAAAAAATCAAAACCAAAACAGTTCCTCGGGTACCACCTGCCAGAGAAGCCTAGCCCTGTTTCAGACTGCCACAACTGGTCACAATCCATTCCACTTGTACAAATAAGAAAATATCTTCCTTCTCTAATCCTTCTTACCTATCTCCCTTCAGGTTGCTTCTTCAAGCAAAATATGATGCAACTGCTGTCATACAGTCACTTTTCTATTAGAAAGAGGACAGAGATCACAACCAGGTTACACATAAGTATCACCTTTTTTTACTATTAAACTGAGCCAGCTATGTTGAAACACTTATCCAGATCGATGCAAGTATCATTAGATTTAAGTTAGTATAACAGTTACCATTTTTAAATATTTCATCAGTTTATAATGCAAATCCTTATTCTTCAAAATGTACAAAATAGCGTAAGTTCAACAGTTTAATGATCAGCACTGGACAGAAATATAAGACATTTATGGAAATTTTTTTTTTTTTTTTTTTTTTTTTTTTTTAAATGATGACATAATTCTAAATACCTTCCATGTTTGGAAGTCAAAATGAAACAAAGAAAAATTATTTCCGTGTAAGGGTAGATATTTTCAGAACAACACAAGCTCTTACTGTACAAAGGTTAATCCAAAAGACAGAAAAGTCTATAGCTCATTTTAAAGATCCTGCTTAGGAGTAACTTAATGCTGACCACTGTTCAGAAGTGTTTGGCATTCAACCAGATACGATTAGCAGTTACTTTAAGACTTAGCTAAAGTTCTAAGAAAAAAGCCCAAACGAATCAAAGCCAGACGTTCGTAACTGAAAGGCATTCTTCATAAGTAAAAGGTTTTCTTACAAATTTTACATCCAGTTAAAGCCAAACACAACATCATCAGAACATCTCTCCAAAACAAACAAACAAAAAAAAAGCATTCATAAAAACTCTTCCGAAAACCCCACTGAAACACCTTAGACCAGATCAGAAAGATTGAGGAAGAAAATTAAGAAGAGAGAATGGGGAAAAGGTCCACAGTATTTGCTGTAAACTTATCAAACATGCCATGACCGTTACTAGAAAAGTTATAAAGGACAGGTGTGTTTCCTTCCTCTCTCTCTCTAGATCTTCCACACAATACGTTAAAATTAACAAACAGAAGTTGATTCACTGCAAATGAATTTATTCCTTCCATCACGCTTCTCTTTCCTTGGTTATGACAGCCAGAAAAAATCGTCAAACACTTATAAAGAAGGGCTGTGATAAAAATCAATGGAATTTACCCACATCTGTATGCATAAATAACCAATTACTGGATTTGTAAAATTAAAACATGGATATTAGTCTATCACAATAACGGACAAAGTTATACACAACTACAAAAAAGAAATCTTTGACATGTAGAATCAAGCTCATTATTGCAGGTAAATAATTTCTTAATGTCTAGGGATTACAACTGCAAGATTTTTCACTCTCTTTTTACGCAGAAAACCATGACTATTTCTTTAATCCATGTTAAGAATGTGCTAGCTACCATCAGGAAAAGATTTTAATTGGTTCTTTCTATTTGTCTAAGATTTTTCCATAGTTTCCCGTAAAATCACGTTTCCAATTCCCTGTGCAAACCAGATACACTCTTTAAAAGCTCAGTTATGAAAACACAAACTCTGAAGGATCTCTGTAGAAACTATGTGCCCTTACTTGAACAAAATTAATACAAGTTATTAGAAATGTAAATTCTAGAATATATCCTGATCAGTTATTTGGGTTTTGATATCTCTCACCACGTTCTTCAAATACAACCACTTCTGAAAGAAGATAAAGCAAAAGAAAAGTTGCTTTAACAAAAGTCATTGTTAATTGTGTAACTTAAGAAGCCATTTGTAATAATAAAACTGAATTTGGCAATTCTTTTGCTCTCTCTGAAGCCTATCAGACCATTGCTGTGAAATTCTGTAACTCTTCTTGCCTTTGGGTAGAACATGCACTTTTAGTTTTTTCTCTGAACCTTTGTACTAGTGAGAATTATCTCCAGCCTGATGTAACTTTCTTTAATATTCCAACAAAAACACAAAGAAAAAACTCTATTCAAGGATCTAATAGTCTAGGATTTTGTTTCTACCATTATCTATTGTATATACCTTATAACCATTAAGTACTACATTTCTTACAGAAGTGTATGATTAAAGTATAAAAGTAAAAACAAAAAAAAAATTTAAGTGCTAAAAGAAAAGTCAGGTAGTCAAAAGTATGTATGAGTACAGAAAATGGAGAAGTATCATTGGGAGATAATGGACATGTGAGCAATCCTACACCTGTGCACGCCTCGGCAAGGACACAGAACAAAGAACTCAGCAACCAACTCCAGGAGATGGGTTGGGCGGAGAAAGACATTTGATTGTGGTGCTTATTATCCAATCGTGAGAAGCCTTGAACCGCGTGGACAAAGCTGACTGTCCAATCATAAGGATTGCACCACGTGCCGTTCGCGGGCACAGGAGAAACCTATAAAAGGGCTTGCTTACCTTCAATAAATGGGCATTGCTTGATCATACCGGTCGTGTGCGTGTCCATAGCTCCCGCATCTGGCGCCCGAACAAGGACCCTCCTGATTGGCTCAAGTCTTTGCTGAGGACTCGACGGAGGTGCAATCAAGGGTGGAAAGCTGGTCAAAACTGATCCAGACCCTGCCCCAGGGTCTGAAGGTGAGAAGCAGCCTGCTGTAATTTGGGTTGAAGATCCGCGAAAAGAAGCGGCGGCCGGGAGGGAATGGGGTCTGTTCTCGGCAGGGACGAGCAAGCAGTAGTGAAAGTCCTCCAAGATATCCTCTCCATGAGAGGCGTATAATACGGTAAGTCCACCCTGAAAGGCTTGGTGAAATGGAGCTGGGAAAGAGGACTTATCTCCAGTACAGGTCTCATATTTGAGATATCTACCTGGGAATACATAGGAAAAAAGCTCTGGGACGCCATCAGTGAGGGGGGAAGGTCGGCAGAAGAAGTGAGCGACTATGCCGTGCTCTGGAGGCTGATCCGCGATACAGTAGAGGAGCTGAACGACGACCGCGCCGCTGGCACTGCCGCCTTTGCAGGGGTAGAAGCGGCTTCTGGCTCTGATATGCCGCCTCTGGTGCCTGCGCCGCTGGCAGATCCCGTCGCGTTATGTCAGCCGAAAAACCCGTTTGCTTCATCGGTCGCGCTGGCGGGGCCGTGACGAGCAGCAGGGGTTAGCCCGGGAGCTGCGCAGGCGGGAGCGGGCGATGCCGGAGATGCGCCTGGCGCCGCGTGAGAGGAGAGTGAGGGGAGAGCGGGGACGTCACCGGGGCCAGCGGTGGGCAGAGCCGGATGGGAACGCGGTCGGAACCGAAGCACCACCGCCTGCGCCTTCCTTGCGGGGAGAGAAAAACCCTGCCTCACCAGTCAGCGTTTCAAACAAAGGAACTCCACTCTTGCAACTTATAGGCAAGCTTGAAAAACTGGCTGCAACACGGGAGAAGATGGAGCGCAGATCGTGTACCTTTTCATCTGGCACGTAACCACAACCGCCTGCTCCTGACCCACCCGACTATTCAGTTCCAGTATCTGCTTCTAATCCATTCTTGCTGCCATCACAGGCGGAGGCTGCGCTTCCTTCGTCTCGCCCTACAACTTCACATCTTTTTTCTTCACAGGTGCAGAGTGCCTCTGTGGCCACACGCCGATGGAAAGGGATTATCAGAGATGCTGCTATAGTGGAGGGGTCTTTCATTCCTGAAAGCGTACAAGCGTTCCCTGTTTCTGTTAATAGTGTTAGTGGTACTAACGAATGGGATCCTTTAGATTGGAAATCGCTTGAAAAGGCCAGAGCTTCAGTAATGCAAAATGGTCTTCATCGTCAATTAACAAAACAAATTATTAATTATATTTTTTCATCATCACCGTTAATTCCAAAAGATATCGCTCAAATAGCAGCAGTTGTATTAACTCCATCTCCAAAAACGCTGTTTGAAAGTGCATGGGCTAAATTAGTTAATAATGAGCAAGCTCAGCCGCGACCACAAGGCGATCCACTTTATCTCGTTCAAGCGCAAATGTTGTGAGGTACAGGACCCTTCGCAGCAGTAGATCTGCAAGTCGGTTTCTGTAATGAAGTGCTGCGACTATCGCAGTCAATAGCTTGTCAAGCCCTAATGTCTGTGCCTGATACGGAAGGGAAACTGTTGCAACAACTAGTTCACACTCTTGATCAGAGAAGCGTTGTCTACTTTATTACTCGCATCAGAAGTCATCAGTCCAAGGAAGGACTGGGGTATGGAAATGAACTAGATGATCAACTGGTTGCTCCAGCCAGGCCTGGGCCCTCTCCAAATTTGTTTTCACAAGCTAGAGGATCTCACAATTTTTTGCAACAGCCAGCAAAAATGTTGCATAAACAATTTAAAATTCCTCTTGCAGATGCAAAGGGCATTGTTGCCTCTTGCCCATCCTGTCAAAAAACAGGGTTTGGCCTGGGAACGGGAGTTAACCCACGGGGCCTATCACCTTTGCAGTTATGGCAAATGGATGTTACTCACATAGCAGAATTGGGTAGGTTAAAATATGTACACGTTGTTATTGATCCCTTCTCCATGGCTATTTGCGCTACAGCTCAAGCTGGAGAGACAGCTAAACATGTTGAAAGCACTTATATAGTTCTTTTGCTGTACTGGGAGTGCCAGGACAGATCAAAACAGACAATGGCCCAGCATATATTTCTGGGCGCTTCCAACGCTTCTGTATCTTATGGGGCATTAAACACTGCACAGGAATTTCACACTCTCCCACTGCACAAGCAATCATCGAACGAGCTCATCAAACTCCGAAGCAAATGCTTCAAAATCAAAAACGGGGAATGTCAGGTATGATACCAGCTGAACGATTAAATTAAGTTTTATATGTTTTGAATTTTTTGAGGCTTACAGGAGAACGTCAGGAGCCACCAATGATGATTCACAGTTTAGCAATAAAGGGTGATGCTGAACAATCTATGGGCACACAGCAACCGTTAGTTATGTTGAAAAACTTAAATACAGGGCAGTGGGAAGGACCTGTTAAAGTACAATTAACAGGCAGAGGTTACATGTGTGTGCTTACAGATCATGGCTTACGATGGGTTCCATCTCGCTGCGTGCAGCCTTGGTAAGAAGGTCAAGCTCACAACCCTAAGCCTTGCAATGGTTCTAAGTGATTGTGATGGTTTGACTCTGGCTAAATGCCAGGTATCCACCAAGTCGCTCTATCACTACCCCCCTTTCCCCTTGTTTTCTCAACATGGTATAGAGGGGAAGGAAGATAAACTAACCCTTGTGGGTGAAACGAAAGCAGTTTTAATATAAGCAAAGCAAAGCAAAGGTCCGCACGCGGAGGCAAAAGCAAACAGATTTAGTCTCTCCTTCCCATGGACAGGCGATGTCGGGCCTTCTCAGGATCAGGGCTCCAATACGCGTAGTGGTTGCCTCGGAGGACCAAGGGTGACCCCACCCCCTTCCTCCTTTCTCCCAGCTTTATACTGAGCAGACGTCACACGGTCTGGAATATCCCTTTGGTCGGTTTGGGTCAGCTCTCCTGGCTGAGTCCCCTACCAAGGTCTTGCCCACCCCGTCCCGCTGGGGGAAATATCAGAAAGAGCCTTGGTGCTGTGTAAGCACTGCTCAGCAGTAGCCACAGCAACAGGGTGCTATCAACACCCTGCCGGCTCCCGACATAAAACACAGCACCGTGAGGGCTGCTGTAGGGGAAAACCAATTCCAGTTCAGCCAGACCCAGTACAGTGATTAATGCTCATACATTCTGAATGTGTTTACTGAAATCCCTTCCAAACCAGTAGGGGCCCAAGTTACACAGGAAAGTTAACCATGTTCACAGGATAGTTGAAGAAGTTGTTACAAGGGGGAATTGTTGGAACTGTTGGAATTGTTATTATTTTGCCATGCTTAATTTGTTGTATTAACAATCATTAGAAAAAAGCCCAAAAGGAATGTGGTTTGCTCAAAACCAAAAAGAGGGATATGGTGGGAGATAATGGACATGTGAGCAATCCTACATCTGTGCACGCCTCGGCAAGGACATAGAACAAAGAACTCAGCAACCAACTCCAGGAGATAGGTTGGGCGGAGAAAGACATTTGATTGTGGTGCTTATTATCCAATCGTGAGAAGGCTTGAACCGCGTGGACAAAGCTGACTGTCCAATCATAAGGATTGCACCACGTGCCGTTCGTGGGCACAGGAGAAACCTATAAAAGGGCTTGCTTACCTTCAATAAATGGGCATTGCTTGATCATACCGGTCGTGTGCGTGTCCATAGCTCCCGCAAAGTATACCTGGTGGTTTTGTGGCCTCCTTGATTGTAGGGGGAGGCACTCGGAAGATCTCGTGATGTACGGGAAGAACAGGGAACTCAAGATCTCGTGATGTAGAGAAAGGCGTATATTAAAGCAATTGTGCAGTTAATAAATCAAGCAAATAGCAACCACCATATTGGCGTTTGTGCTTTTGTTCCTGCAAAGGTTTTAACCTCCTGCAGGAGTTAGCTGTGATCTGAACACCACATTTCTGTGGCTTGGCAGGTAGAAAAAGACAGCTAATGCCTTACCACAACGCTTGATGATTTTCTGAAGCTCTTCAATTTCAGCATCAAATTCTTCATAGTTTATTTCCTTAGATTCAACCGGAGGAGCCTGGAAGAGTGAAGGATCAGATCCAACGTAGGAACGTTGAAGATGCTCAGTGTCACTCAGAGTGACTATAACACCCTTCAAGCCTCTGCATAAAAAAAATAAAGCTCATTAATAAATTGGGAAGAGCCCCAGAAGTAATAACATTGAATCTATGCTGCATCTACAAACTGTTCCATCTACAAATATAATAGAACTCCCTGGTTTCAGTGAGATTCTTTGACCAAAAAAAAACAAGATTTATTCCTCAATTCAGATGTGTTTATTAATATTACTCCCCCTTACTAGAATCACACCTAAGAACCAATCTGTGCTAGACAGATGACTAAAACATGGCCCAAGTATCTCAGAATCCGTATAATCAAGACAGGTAAAGGAAAGGATCAAAACAAGCCAAGCAGACAGTACATCTGTAACCTTCTTTATTCATGAATTGTTACTTAAGTTTTCTGGAGTATGGGTATTTAGGTTGGTATGCAGGAAGAGGAATCAGCTAAATGGAACACCAAGTGAGGGGAGGGAAAGGATGCGTTAGAAGAAATCCCTAACAGATGGCACACGTTCGCAGTGAAGACAGCAGTAGAACTTTGATGCTATCACAGCTCCCCTAACCCGTTCTTTGGCTGCTCCTGCAGCTACTGTGCTGGCCTCAGACCCTGGCTGGCTCTGCCCTGCAGTGTACTTCTAAAGGGAAGCCACAGGGATCCAGAACATTCCCCTTGTGCTGCTCTGGATCAGTACGACTGGGTGTTTTATTGGCTTCACTACAGTCTCTTTCCTCTTAAGGGACCAGTACCGCATTGACCTTACTCCTACAGCAGTCTCACTCACTCTATTTATCTGATCATGTACCATGCAAATGCATGATTTAGGAAAGTATTTAACAAATTATGAGACAGCAGCGAGGACTGCCAACATTTTGCTTAGCTTGAAGGTTATTCCGAAACAGAAGAGGAACTGAACAGTAAATACTAGCATACATATTAACAGCAGAAGTTAGGAGAAGACTTTATTTTTTAAAATGCTTAAATTAAAAGCTTGTATTTATTTTCATAATCATGAGGTGACACATTCATGCCAATAATTTGCGTATTCCATACTTAGAATATCATAGCAGACACTGCATTTGCAAATAAGCAGTCATATAAGCAGACAGACCAAATTTAATTCATAGATACAAACCAATTTTGATAATAAAGCCTAATGCACTATCCCACTAACTAAACCCATGTAAAACATTCAGTTTATAGAAGTGTTCAAGCTATAATTTATAAAGAAATAACAAATTCTTTTAACTTACATACACCGACACCCTTCAAGCAACTCTTCTAGTACAATCCTCATTAAAAAATTAGGTAGCTGTATAAAAAAATTTCAACTGCATACTACACAACACATGCCACAGATTTCCAAGGTTCTAGCCAGCCATGTCTGGTAATTTAAAACATGATGAACAAAGACTCATAATTGCCATGTCGGCATGCCAGGATAGGTATGACAAAATATACACTGGTTAAATATCAGCTACTTATACTCTTCATTAATTCACTGATTTATGAATACTAATTAAAATGTGTGCATTAATAGAGCTTATAGTATAATTTAAATCAGAATTATAAAATAAGATCATAAAGTCTAAAATCATATTTTAAGTCTAAAATAAAACACAGGATCAAAAATATATCTTTTTGAAACATTAATATAAATTAGAATTAAGAATTAAGAATCTGTAGTTCTATAGTGGCATCCAACCAAGTTGCTTCCACACAATAGAAGAAATTAGTTTCATCTCCTAACAGTAAACTTTATTTGATTTTTTTACCTATCAGTAAATGACAGAAGTTCCTCAAACACTGGTTTACTCTTCCAAAATCTCTCATTCTTACATGTTTGTTGTTTTGGTAGCCTGGGAAAATGCGTCTACACTAGACAAGTACCTCAACTTCCTGATAAGAAAATATCTATTTAGATTCTAAAAATGTTGACACTTCACACTAAGTAACACCTTAAAATAAACCCGATTCATCCAAAAAGAGAGCTCCAATTCCAGATTTTTTTACACATCAACAGCTTATTCAGAAAAATATATTTATTCACTGGAAAAAAAAAAAAAATCTTAGCTACAAAAGTAATGTTGAGTTTTCCTTTTACAAACCTGAAAAATAAGGAATGAAGCAACTTGGACTGTAATCAAGTTTTTTTCATGAATCGAATTTGCCCATTATCCTTAAGGCAAAAGAAGTTTCTCTCACCAAGCACAAAACCAGAAGAAACTGCCTGGTTAAAGGAGACAACGCATATATCCAGTGCTCGCTCTCCGATGTTTAAAACCCAATCCACCTGCAAAAGAAAAAACATGCTCCAGAGATCAGTTGACAGCTGCATCTTGAAGACAAAACTTAAGAGAAGACTCAGAACTTATCAAGGTACAGGAATATCATCAACACTGAAAGAAAAGCAAAACCAAGTTCTTTTTTGAAGGAGAGTTATCGTCTTATTTTGAAGGCAGTTGTAACTTTCCTTACTGTGAGTAGAGCAGCAAAAGCATCCACTTTCTGAAAGAGCCATGAATTGGTGGCTATATTCACTTAAGTACATTTACATTTTAGAAGACACATCCCATTCAAAATGAAAATGCTTTATACTTTAACTAGTAAATCCAAGAACAGAATATTATAATCATTTAAATCTGCCTCCGTACATGTCCTTAGATATTAAGGGCAAGGTTAGAGAGCAAAAGGTGATAACTTCTTCTACCACTACATGTAAATGGAAAAACAGATGAAGTTTTAGGCGTAAAGCCAATACTCATGCTTGCAGTCACTAATGCACACCATTCAACCTGAGGAATGTCTGTGTGTATCATAGCTTCTCTACTCTTCCAACTACACACATTGATATAATAACAACTTACAAACCCTGCCTTGCCTGTATCCTTCCATCTTTAAACAATATCACTCAGCTCCTCTGAGAAATTTCAACTAATTGACACATGCAACAATTGCTTTTGACTGCTGCTAAGCTGTTTAAACAGAAATTCAGAATTTCTGAAGTAAATAAGTATCAAAGGTCAACTGTCAGCACTTTCTATATGAACAGTATCAATCATTTTGCTTAAAGAACATAGAATGAAGGAGTAAATATACCGGCATATCTCATATGTGAACCAGCAAGTTCCACCTTATCAAAGGGGAAAAAAAAGCCAGGCTTAATACATTTTTCTCCACGTACGCTTCTCAATTTAATTTTAAAAACTTATTTAATTTGCAGCACATCTGATGAAGCTTCCAAATTTCTTATCCAAAAACTGTGTCTTCTCCTACTTCAAGATGTAGGATTCTGACTGACTTACAGTTCGAAAAAATTCTACGATTAGACACTGGAAGGAAGATGCTCTCCCAATATTTTACTGTCATACCCGAGATATGCTGAATCTAGCATTTTACGCAGTACATTTAGCAGACAGGCAATTCCACTGCAGGACCACAGAGAATTAAATTCTATTCCTCGTAACAGGAGACAGATCAAATACGAAACACGTAGTTACAGGGGCCTCCTGGAGACCACTGAAACCACAGGGTTTTGACAAAGAGCCCAGGATACTATTTCTGAGTTTTCTCCGAGTACAGATGATTCCCCAAGTAGAATGAGGTTAATTTTGTAAATAAATCCAATACAAAGTCACAAATAGACTTAAATTGGAAACATGAGAAATATTTTAGGTATACCTGCATATCTCTTTTACTCCAGTTTAGGTCCTGTATTACAAAGACTGCCTTAGAAATAGTTATTTCCAGTACACAGTTCTTTCTTTTTTTCTCCTCCTTAGAACAGCAGTGAGCTTTAAGGCCCAACCTTCAACAACTGAGGCTCAGAGGAATCTTAACAGAAATCGACCGGAGTCTTTCCGTTGCCTTCAATGGCAACTGGATTGGGTCCTTTGTCAGCAGACAGTGTTTCCATCCGTTACTTAGCACCGGTCTTCTCAACACGTGTGCAATGTACCATACTAGTCATGTAAAATAAACAGGTTTTACCACAAGGTTTTTTCCAGAACTAAGTTTTTGCTGTTCTGTTTCTTGTCTTTCATCAGCATCTGTCGCAAATGCCAACACCTGTTATCTGTGATAGGAAGTTTAAAAAAGTAAAAAATAAAATATCTTTTTGGTCAATACCCTTACATTAAGTAAAAAATAACAGATAATTATCATAGTATGAGTATACATACACAGTAAAAGCACGGTCTAAAAGGATTGTTAGAAAGCCTAGTGCAACACATCTATCATCAGCAAAGACGTTAAGATAAATATCATAGTAGGGTAACACGGCTGTAAAGGCAGAAATTAAAACAAACGTTTCCATTCAGATTTTATGTGGTCTTAAATTCAAGAGCTAGATGTATTAGAGGATAGACATCTAGACCACAAAGAAGCAAAAACCCAACATATTTTCAAACTGTGAAATTAGGACTCTAACAAAAAATAAACTTTTTTGCTCTCATTCAGCTTTAAAAAACCTCCTAAACTACCCTGAAATACAGTGGGCTATATCTAGTAGTTACACCCTCAAGCACACCCACGAAGTAAACATAAGTGGTTCCAATCCAAGAGGTCACAGTAAACTGCACCAGCAGGTGACACATCCAGCAAACATGGGAGGTTTGGGGGTCCGTGGGGCTTTCACTGTTTTGTCACTGCCAACCCACCATACTAAGAAAATCTGGTAAGGAAGGAATTGGAACAAAACTGCCATAAAATCTCAGCACATCTACCCGTCATTACTTACACCCATGCAATCCTCAATGTTCAGACTGTGTCCTCACTAACTCTTGGGCATCTATTTCTTTCCTGAACTTGTGCTGGTGCTCTCTGAAATACCCTGCTTCCCATGTATGCACGTTAGGTAATCTACAAAATACTAAAGTTTCCTACAAAAGTGAAATGAACAACCAAAAAGCCCACAAAAAAATTATCCAAAAGATAGAATTCTGGAAGTCATTGGAGTGCCATCAGCTCCTAAGCTCAAACCAATGCAATTCGGAATGTTCCGATTCCAATCTGACACATGAAAGTACACATTTTTGTATATTGTCAGAATTACAGGTTTAAAACGATAAGACCAGCAGCCTTCACATTTCAGATGCATACAGAGGTGCTCATTACTGAAGAATTTTATCTAAAATTATTTTAGTTGCAGAAGTAAAATGTGTAATTGGACTAAGAAATTTAATGGTTGAATATGAATCCTATGACCTAGGTAAAAATACTAAATAAACCGCATTTAGTACAACTATCATGTCTCTGTGTCCTCTATAGGAACAAATTCACTTTCCTTTTTCAGTTTAACACATTTTTAAGAGAAGTTGCAGATTCTGACCTAATAAAATCTTCTCTTTTCACCATATTTTATTTATAGTCTTGGCTACCACACTATCGTTTTATGAACTAACCAGGGACTAACACACAGCTGTCAAACCGAACTCCCACTGAACAGCAGTATGTGCTGATGTTTAAGTACCGACTACCTGCGTACAAGCCTTTCATCACAAAAAAATGAAGCCACAGATGACCGACACAAACTTACAATTCAGCTATGGCATCAAGTGTACAATCATTTAAATAGAAAGCATTTTGCTTTTAGATCTTGAAACAATTCGGAATCGGCCCAGGCAATACTGCTTTCAAATGAAGGCACTGGTCAGTATGAGCTACAGGAAGACGGATCATTTGAAGTTTGGCAACTTGTTCTTAAAAACACTAGACAGAACTACTGCATTTTTTCACTTACTATAACAAGAAAAA